TGCAAGGACTCACTGTACGTGCTGGAAAATCTTAGTTGTGAAACTTTTCGACTTTCACCAAAGAAACATTCTAGCATAGGCTAACCCCCATCAAGTGACTTTTTGACACTGTGCTTTTATACTACATCGCTTTAATGTGCTTTCGGAAGTTCTGTGACCCAGTTAGGTTCCTTCTGACTTATATTATGCAAAGCCGAAATGCTGTAGTAAAGCAGCTTTAGTTTCATTTAAGTACAAACGTTGCAGTGGTGTCAATCTCCTCATCTAAATATCTGCAACACAGTGAATATTTCCCAAAATGTTGAACTATTCCTTTAATATATTTACACAATATTTGAACTGTATGAAATTTGATGTATGTCATGATGAACTGATTAAAAGGAATTAAGTGCGCTCTCTATGACCAGGTCCAACACTGATTTGATTTGCTTCTGACAGACATCTCTCCTGCTGAGCTGGACGCTCTCTGGAGGGAACCACCGTACACGCTTGGGGGAACAAATGATCCCTTCTCAGGGAATGACATCATGACTCAAGGTAACGTGTTTTACACAGTAAGGTTATTGTGGAACCTCTGTCACTTTATATTATCACAGACGACTCATCTGTTAGTTTGGACCACAAAGTCCAAGTGTGAGGCTGATGTAGGATGGAGCTGTGTTGTGGTCACAAACTGAGGAAGTCTTTGGGACATCCTCCCTGCACAATGGAACAATTGGGGAAGTTCATTGCCTCTTTACAGCTGTAACCATATTATAAGGCATCCACCTGACTGATATTTATAGATTTCTAACTATTGAGATCATAATGTGCGGAGGTAAAATTGTACCATAATAGATTTAACAAATCCACAGTGACAGAGTTAAATCAAACTATGTAGTGCAACTATCTTGACATCTGCCTCGGAGGTTATGTTTTCATCTGCATTTGTTTGTTCCTCACTGAGCAAGATAACACAAAATTACACAATGGACGGATTATCTTGAAACCTGGTGAACGATGTGCAATGAGTCAGGGAACAATCCACTAAATTATGGTTGGATGTTTTTGGTGCAGATCTAAATAAAAATCAAGACCATCTAATTCAAAAGTGGTTTAATACTGTTAGGCCTTGGCGGAGGTATGTGCTCTACTGAGCACCATTCTGGTCAAGACCTTAAAATCTTGTTTAATATAGAGAAACCCAACAGTTCCCACATGTATTGATTACAAAACATGCAGTTTAAAATAGAATTAAATGAGAACATTTTAGCATCAATGGATTCAGTGAAAGAATACTTGAGTTGATTTCTGTGTGGGTACATTGGGCGAGAAAAGTTGGGAACCACTGCTCTAGATAGATTAGATTGAATAGATAGATTCAACCTTTTCCTTTCCCTTGAGATGACCATTTTGATAAAATTGTTTCCACATTATATATACCTGTCTTTATCAAACAAAAAACACCCCTTAATACAGTTGCTGTTTAGCAAACACTGGCTTAACCAGCTTAGAGTGTGAGTTTTCTACCTCAGCGTGTACCGTATGTTCTCCACTTGGCCTTCCAGGTGGAGGTGAGGAGGAGGATGGTGTCGTGGTGGAGTCAGGTGAAGGAGAGGTGGAGCCTGACAGCTACTGGAAGAAGAAAGAAGCTTTCTTTAGAGGAAGTACTGTGTCACTGGGAGACAAGTTCTCCTCAGGTTAGTTTAATGACGCTCTCGCCACAGTCCATTGCCCCCTGCAGCGTACATACATCAGCCAGTCTAAACTAGTTACACTTTGTACACAGAACTATTCCCAATGCCTATTATTTTTTTGCATAATGATGAAGCACATTTCCCTGTCTACTAATGTTTTGCTCACTCAGCAGTTAAGCTCCATCCATCACATTCCCCCAGGTTCTTCCTCTCAAATGGATTTAATTGGCCACACTGAGAGTCCAGTTAGAGGCCTAATAGCTACGTTATTCCTCCAGGGACCAACATTGTGCTCACAAAGCATATGAAGGAAACATAAGTGCTCGTAGGAAATCTTTATGAACTCTTAAAAGTTTTGTCTCTTTTTTTAAGAGAAGAAAATCTTTAAATTGTTTCTCTGTGATGACAGAAAATACAGTAACATATTTGTACAACTGAATCACCAGTATTTTCTATTTATTCTTGTATTCTTCACACGGTCGATGATGCAACTCTATAATATTTATTTTTCAAATCTAATCTAATCAAATATTATTTGCATTGGATTTGTTAGATTAACTGAGGTGTTCTTGTCTTTTTCCTTAGAAATTGCGCTGTTGTTCACTGGGCGGAGGCGCTCCAGTGTGGATCCTGACCGAACCCTACAGGAGGCGCTGCGCACACGACTGCGAGTGGTGGAGAGCAACAGCCAGGACGTGATCCAGCTCTTTAAAGTGAGTGCTGACAAATCAGACAATATTTAGACATGTACTAGTTTCTGATGTCATAATAAAGAAGTAGGTGCACTATGATTTGATAAGCGTCTATATAATGCTATGTGATATATAAACTGTGTGTTTATGTATTGTGCTCTTTATGGATATGGATTGTTCTTCAGTACATGATAAATGAGACTTTGTCTCTGCAGGACTTGTCTGCACGGCTGGTGTCTGTCCACGCTGAGAAAGACAGCTTTGTGCTCACATTTAAGACTGTGGAGGAAATCTGGAAGTTTTCAACATACCTAGCATTGGGTAAGAAAGCTTTGTCTTTGCTGTTCTCAAAGATTGGAAGTACTTTGAGAAAAGGTGATTCTTTTGGCCAATAAGCATTCAGAAAGCCACTGTCACTCAAATCTGTTAAAGTGTAAATATACTTCCTTGTGATAAACTTTGATCGATGCTCATTTGATCACTATTATCATCACATTGTGTAACATGGTTTGGTTGTTGGGTTGTTATATTTACTGTGGAGTTGTGTGTGCTCTTTCTCAGGTTATGTGGCTCGCTGCTTGGAGAACTTCTTGAGTGATCAGTCCTTCTGGCTGGACCCAGAGCTGCTCAGCGACCTGGAGATCAATGTGAGCGTGGATGAGGAACATCTGGCTACTCTGTACCTGGGACTTTTACTGCAGGAAGGTCAGTAATACTACTTCAGTCAAATAATGGAAGATCGAAGAGCTTTATAGGAATAGTTTGAATTAATTATTGTCACTGAATCTGTGATCCAAATAGGTTGTCATCTCTCTGACTCAAATCTGAACAATGTCTCTTTTTTGCCTTGGCTTTAAATGCAGACAATTGATGACAGGGACCATGCAGCATTTAACAGAAACCAGCTGCTGCTTTGATCCCATTACTATTAAATTGTTTTTCACTGACCCCAATTAACACTACGACAGATCCACTGTTTTTACTATAAACCATTCTGAATGTCTATAGTCGGATTACCGGCAAGGTCAGAAAACGTTTTCTGGCAGTCAAGCTGGAAAAGCCTATGTTCAGGCAGAGGGGGAGGAAACAGAAGCGGAGGAAGTGAGCAGGGCTACGCGCTAGGCTAGGCTTAAGGCAATGCTCCCTACATGTGTTTTTACGACAGGTGACAGTGGAAACAATACCGCTTTTGTCCACAGAGGCGCCAAAATTTAACGAAAAATGTTCCTTGTAGGAGCTTTAATGTAAAGCCCATGCTTTAATGAAATGTGCTTTATTATACTCTACTGTAAAGTTCTAATTACAAGTAAGGTATGTGATTGGATTTTTACTTTATTCTTATGATTGTATAATTGAATTAAGTTAGAACTGGATGTCACTGAATTTGAGTAATTAGTTATGTTTTCTGTTCTATAAAATTAACAGCTAAAGCAAAACTGTTATACCACTGTGGCTCCTAGAATGAGTATTGATTCCCTCCTGCCTGGTCTACCCAGATTTATTTCGCCTGAGCATTTCCCAGAGGCAAAAAGCTTCATGGAAATGTATATAGGACTGCAGTGCTGGCAAATAGTGATGGGAATTACATTATGGGAGGTCATAAAACATCCATCATTTGCAAGTGACTGAATTAGGGTGCAGCAGCTCTGCTGTTGCCATTTTGCTAAACCACTTTTTGAAAACACTTCAGGTGTCTGGGTAAGCATGTTGGCTGTGTCTCTCTGCTGATGTGTGTTTATGTGATTCACTTCGCAGGATCCTTCTTTGCAAAGGCGCTATTTACGAGAAGTGAGCAGTATGAAGAAGAGGAAGAACAGCTGTCATTCAAAAAGAATGACTTGCTCATGGTAAAGGACACAGGCCAGGACAACATGCGGGAGGGCACCATGCTCTCTACAGGAAACCATGGTCTGGTGCCAGTTGATGCCATGCAGCCACTACCCTACCCCTTCTACCAGTGAGTCACTGTGTTCCTTACATTCCTTGATTTAGAAACAGTAAGACTAACACATTCTCCTGTCAAAATGTTAGGCTGATTGAACTGAGCTGAACAGAAATGTATAAACGTCAATGGGCACAGAATCATTAATCTGTACTTCCTGTTTGGTCAGGTGGTTCCTGAGGAAGTATCCAGGCTCTGCTGGATGCTCGCCAACAGAAAAGGAACAATTTGAACATCCAATCGGTAATGCCACACACACATATACAGAACTATATGTTTACAGAGAAGACTCACTGTGCTGGATAGGCACTGCAATGTAAGCTGTTGAAATGTGTGACAAGACAGGTTTCGCTCATGAAAAACCACAGACTGTATAAAAAGAGAGACAACTTGATGGCTCACCCAAAGTGAAGCCAGTGTCTCAATCACCACCTGATGGCTGGCTACAGCATAGGTCATATATCCCAACTCATCCGTGTTAATCGATGTGACCTGGAACTAACTAAAAAGCAAACAACTTTTTTTCATAGATGGCTTCGTCTTTTTCAGTAGTTCATATCACAGTTTTCTTCCAGTGAGTTTGGTTTTAATGAATGATCATCTATGAATGGAGAAATAAACTTGATTTCCCCATTTTGTGCTGTGATGCGCTGCTTTGCATCTAATTACATTTATAAATACTTAGATATATACATTTACACTATATAGTGATTAGTGAGTGATTTCGGACACAACCTCTGGTTCAAAAGGTGCAAGATGGCAGCGCTTGTATCCGGTATAGTTTGGCTTAATTTCTGGCCTTTTTACGGTCTTTGGTTTGGTTTGGTTTGGCTGCAGCCTTAACGTTTATCTCAGTTATGCTCTTATCAAAGTGTCACAACAGGCAGCTGTTTTGAAGTTATAAAAATGTACTATTAAAAAATTCATATAAATAAGGTACTGTATAAAGGCATTGAATTGTATCTACACATTCCTGATCAGACAATCTGTTGTGTGATTCTGCTCCTCAAGAAGTCTCATATCTCGTGTTTGTCCTCATCATACATCACAGTCACAGGTTCCTGTGTAGCAGTGGTTGACCACTGTCCACCGGGGCCGGATGAGCTCCAGCTAAACCAAGGTGACGTTGTAGAGGTCCAGGGTCTGCTGGTCCGAGGTCTGGGCGTGTTCATAGGAACGAACACATCCACAGGACGCACTGGTTTTATACAGAAGGCCCACGTCAAGCCTATGGACACCATGCCCCTGTAAGATGTCCCTTTTTTGTTGTTGTATAAAACATGATGCAGCATTAGCACACTGGTCTGATGATGTTGTGCATCATTTCAACTCTGAAGCGCTTTATCTTGATCAAATCCACATTAGCTACCTCTTAGTTATTGTCTTCCACTAATCTTTGATGAAATCCCATTTACCGTAGCTGCAGTCTGGACATTTTGAATTGGGCGAAGACGTTGGGGGAGACAGCTGAGATGATAATGCTGCCTTTGTTTCTCCTGCACAGAGACGAACAATTGGTCTTTCTGACAGCAGAGGAGAGGGCCAGCCTGGCTCAGGTTAACCCGTGCAGCTCTGAGCCAAGTGACTGCGGCCTGCTGGAACGACTCTTCTCATCTGAAATCAGCTCTGTGTACAGGCTAGGTAAAAACAACAACTGATCAAGAGATACTCAAAGGACGGGGTTGTGCCAGAACCATAACTGAATCATAGGTCACATTTTGTATTTAATGTGCAGCTGATGTTTGTTTCTTACATAGTTGCTGCATTTATTCTGAGAGTGACTGAAACTGGACAGTGTTTCCAGCTCCACTGCCAACTGGAAAAGTGATGCTTAAATTGATTTACCTTGTGTGCCTCCAGACAGACTGGACGAGACTGACTTCCTGTATATTAGGAATCAACCAAAACACGGTAATGCTTTACAAATCATAGAGGTTTGTAAAAACCTCACTAGATGTCTTTGCTTTGCACTTACATTCATAAACTGTTTCTTTCCTCTCCTCATAGATCATAAGGTTTCTTCAAACACGCGTCAGAGTGTCCTTTCAGAGCGGAGTGAGAGAAGCGGAGGGACGCCCCCGTACCACTCCTCCCCACGTAACTCTCTTTCTCTCTCCTCTCCCCGCTTGTCCCTCTACCGCTCCCAAAACCCTCTGCCCCATGAGGGCGAGCACCTGTCCTTCACCCTGGAGGACACGTTCAGGGAGCTGGACGAGTTCCAGGAGGATCCACCTCTCTTCTCAGAGGAGAACAGCTGGGAGGGGGAGGAGTCTGAGATCAGTGACCCCACACTGACCCTGCTCAATCGTGAACACTTCCAGGTCAGCAGAATCTCAGTTCAAGACCTCATTAATCATTGAAGCCAAAATACTTTTTTCTTTCTTGCTCTTTAATTTTATGTCTGTCCTAGACATTTGCAACAGCCTCTCCAGCACCACCTTCAGTCTTATTTTCAACTAATTCATAATTGTATGGCCCTTAACTCCTAAACCTTTTTAATTACCAGAAAACATTTCTCTCTTAGTATTTAGGTCCTCAAACGGTTTAAAAATATTATGTGGAAAATTTGAGTTATATAATTCAGTTTCTAATCAAATAAAAGCATTTTCCTTTAATGTGTAATTTAATTATGCAGTGAAAAGACAAAACAAGTCTTGTCCCAACAGAAGCCCACTTCTTTTTATCTAACAAAGTCATCATACAATTATCTAATTACTTTTCCCGTTTTGTCAACCAGATCACATTTTTACAATCTTTGAAAAAAATCTCAGCTTCACCACTGAAATTAACCACTATTTCCACTTTGGTTAAATTTACATTTCCAGTCTCACTAAGAGAAGCATCTTTGGGATTATTTTAAGGATAGCTATAATTGCACTAAAGTTAGTCACTGCCTGTTTGTTATTTTTTCCAGGAGGACTTCCTGCCTCTGTATGACCTGCAGTATTCCTTCCTGTGGGTGACCTTCAGTGGTAAGACGGAGGACGAGCTCTCGGGTCACCTCGAGAGTGTCAGGGAGTGCGCCAAAAGGATGGGCATGCACTGGGCACATCGCCGGGCATGCTTTCTCCTGGGAAGGCTCTGTGCCAGAAAACTAAAGCTCTCACAGGTTTGAACTGACAGTTAATATAAATTATCAATATGCAATAGCTTGCCATTAATATCACTGAGGTAATATTAATAAAATAGATGTGTAATATATCAATGACTACTGCAGGTTATTTTGCCTATAAAGGACAATAAAGTGAAGAATATTTAGGACTGTACTGTATATTATTATTAGTCATATTTCAATTATTTTCTTAGTCTGTGCTGAAAAGCAGTCTTAAATAGATTGAACAGACCCTACATGTGTTTCCCTCAGGCACGGGTATACTACGAGGAGGCTCTGAGCATTTGTGTGGACAGTTTCTCCGACATGCCACTCCTTGTCGCCCTCTTCACAAACCTCACCTCCATCTACCTGAAGCAGCGCATGACAGACAAACTGCCCCAGACTCTGGAGAAGGCCAGCGCTCTGCTCCTCTGTCTCCCTGGCCACACCTTTACCTCCACAGATGAGGTGGAGCTGCTCAAACTGCTCCTGAGGAGATCGGTGGTGATGGGGGACAAGAGCCTGGAGGCACGTGTCTGCTACCTCATCTCCAGCCTCTTCCTGCTCCTCAAGAAAACAGACGACGCTCTTCCCTTTATTGAGAGACTCCAGTTTCTTTCTGTCTCTCTTTCTGCTGTTGAGGGGCAACCCATAGTCCCCCTGGACCTCAACTGGCTCTTGAGCTGGCTCTATCATCGTAAATACATGCCTTACTTAGCGCTGGCCTCTCTGAGCCTGGACTCCAGACAAGACCACTCCCTCCACGACGCCTTCCAGAGGATTGAGTTGTTTATCAGGAACTCTGTTCGCCTGAATCCGTGCTGGAAGGAAGGAACCTCCTTGCTCCCCGCCCAGATTGTGGTTTACCTTCAGCAAGCCTTGGCTCTAGCTGAGCAAGGGGAGGACATGAAGACCCAGAGGGACCTGTGTTTGGGCTTGGCCTCAGTCTACCAGCAGTACAATGCTCTGGACAAGGCGGTACGCTGTGCTCAACAAGCTGTGGAGATGGGCGGCTACATTAATGAGGAGGAGGGCTTTGAGGCCTCTGTGCTGCTTGGGTGGCTGCTGGTGTTGACAGGACAGGCTGAGAGGGCCCAGAGTGTCTTGCAGCCACTGCTCACATCACTTCAGGTACAGCTAATGCACACAAACATCACAGAAAAAACCGTCACTATCGGTTCCTTTAAATGAACGCCATGTGTGTGCGTCTCTCTCCAGGGTACAGACAGCCCCACGCAGCGAGGGGTGATCCACAACCTCCTGGCTTTGTGTCTGAGGCGACAGGGCCGTGTCCCGGAGGCAGGATGGCATCTCCACTCAGCCCTGATGATCTCCAGGGAGAGTGGGAATCAGAGGAACCAGGCCCTGGCTCTTGCCAACCTGGGCTGCCTGGCGCTGGATGTAGGGGCATCATGGGTAGCAGAGCGTTTCCTCGTCAGGTCAGATATCTGCCTTACTGTGTGTCAGAGTAAATGTAGACAGGGGGCGCAAACACTTATTCACTGTGATGGTAATTGTATCACCAGATCAATGCACCTTTTTCATGAGCTGTGGGAGAGCCCCACAGACGAGGAGCACGTTCAGACCTACCTCTGGCTGGGGCGGAGCTACAAAGACAGGGGGAGGAGTCAGGATATCAGGGCGTGCTATGAAATGGGACTGCTAATTGCACTACAAGCCAGAAACCTGCACAGTAAGTACTGTACATGTAAAGTCAGATTAAAGTTCCCTCACTGTACATTGTAACTCCTTCTGACTAATCGAACTAAAACAGTGGCCTCCCCTTAAACCCTTTGGGAAAAAAATTTGATTTCTGGTGGAATGTAACAATGTAACTGTGAGACCATCTCCAAATTCTCTCAAATTAAATTTTTACTGCAATTCTTTTTTAAGAAAGAATAATACGCTGATGATGATGCAATTCTCAGGAACCATTGGTGACACGTTTGCTCTACGTCTCATAGGTCAGATGGTGGTGGCCAAGGTGCTGAGCCGGCTGTATGCCGACATGCTGCTGTACGGTCAGAGCATCGTCTACTACGAGCACTGTGTGTCTGTGTCCAGGCAGCTGAAGGACAAAAGGCTGGAGGGGGAGTACCTGGAAATCCTCAGCAGCCTCTACCTGTCACTCAACACAGAAAGGTGAGTGTCTGCCTCTCCTTAGCACTCATCCTCTTATCTGTGATTTCTATCAATTTTTTTTTCTGTTTTGTGTGTTGCAGATCATCTCGTAAGTCGCTGGACTACACCAAGCAGAGCCTGAGGATTTCTATCGATTTGGGCAAGAGAGAGGAGGAGTCAGAGACCTGGTTACAAGTGGGACGTATATATTATCTCATTCAGGAAGACGAGCTTGCTGACATGTACCTGCAGGTGAGGAGAAGGGAATAGATGACAGTCTGTATGTGGAGATGGAAGACAAGTCTCCACTTCCTCTCGTTGTACAAAAATGAAGCTAAAATATCTCAGGTGGCTGCACGTTTGGGAGCTGTCATGTATTCCATTTATATATACT